AGGACAGTGCTGTTTCTTTCTTTTTCTTATTTTGTTGCACTGGCTAGAACTTCCAAAATAATGTGACTAATAGTACTCATGATAAGCAGCTTTTTCTTGTTCTTGCCTTTAGTGGGAAAATGTATAGTTCATTTTGGTTTGCCATTGGTCCAGAGAGTGTTAGGAAAGTTATCTTCAATTCATAACTTACTAAGAGGTTGTTTTATTTTGTTGATTTACTTGTACTTTTAAAATCAGAAATGAATTTTGAGTTTTATCAGTTGTTTCTTGGTCAAAATGATCATATGCTTTTTTAATTGTTGTTTTAACCTATTAATGAATATAGTACATAGGCTTTCTAGTATTTAACCTTCCTTGGATTCATGAAATAATTGTTATTCAGTCAGAGTACATGTTCTGCAATCTGACTGCCTGGGCTCCAATCTAGGTTTTGCCATTACTCTTTGTTATGACCATGAAAAAATAACTTATTCTTTGCAATAGTCAGATTTTTCTTCTAAAAATCAGAAAGATAATAGTAATACTTATGTAAGAGTTGTGTGAGAATCTTTTAAGATAATTCATGAAAACAACAGTATATGCCACATAGTATGCAGTCAATGTCAATTAGTATCTTTATCTTTAATCTTCTATACTCTAGAAGACTTTTAAACATTTAAATTTCTGTTCAGCTAAGGAAAGAAAATTTTTCTGTAAACCATTAGTGTCTTCAAGTTTCATAGGTATAGCTCTCAGACTACTTTTTCGTTTTGTTCATGGCTTTTGTCTTTCCAAATATTTTATTTTAATCATTTGCACTTTCTTAGAATATCATTTATTGCCATACACTAATAAATCCAAATTTATTATAGTATAGTTGTACCCAACATTCTCCCCTCTTCCTACTTTTATTAAAATTATACCATGCAATATACTTCTGTAACAATCTGTAACAAATATTACCAAAATATATTGCACAATGCTAGGTTTGGGGTACAACTGAACCTGTCACCCAGGTAGTCAGCATCATCCCCGATAGGTAGTTTTTTTGCCCTTGCCACTCTCCCCATCTCCTCCCTCCAGTAGTCTCAAGTGTTCATTGTTCCCATCTTTATGTCAATGTGTACTCAGTATTTAGCTCCCACTTATAAGTGAGAACATGCAGTATTTGATTTTCTGCTTCTGCATTAGTTTGCTTAAGATAATGGCCTCCAGCTGCATCCATATTGCATCAGAGGACATGATACCATTCTTTTTTATGGCTGTGTACTATTTCATGGTATATATATACCACATTTTCTTTATCCAATCCACTCTTGCTGGGCACTTGGGTTGATTCCGTGTTTTTTCTATTGTGAATAGTGCTATGATGAACAGAGGGTACGTGTGTCTGTTGTTACCTTTTTTCGTATTATGTTACAACATTTCGTATTATGTTACAACATTTTTGTATTATGTTACAACATTAATACTTGCTATTCTTTTTTTCTTTTTTTAAGATTTTTAGATTCTGGCACACATGAAAAGGAAATATATTGAGTGGTTGTCTTTTGGTGGTAATGTCCTAGAAAATCCTCATTTTCTTTTTTATATTTTTCTATAATAAATACATATGATATTTAAAATTTTTTTTATTTTTATTTCTATTGCATTTTAGGTTTGGGGGTACATGTGAAGAACATGCAAGATTGTTGCATAGGTACACACATGGCAGTGTGATTTGCTGCCTTCCTCCCCTTCACCTATATCTGGCATTTCTCCCCATGCTATCTCTCCCCAACTCCCCACCCCCTGCTGTCCCTCCCCTATTTCCCCCCAACAGACCCCAGTGTGTAGTGCTCCCCTCCCTGTGCCCATGTGTTCTCATTGTTCAACACCTGCCTATAAGTGAGAACATGCAGTGTTTGATTTTCTCTTCTTATGTCAGTTTGCTGAGAATGATGGTTTCCAGGTTCATCCATGTCCCTACAAAGGACACAAACTCATCATTTTTGATGGCTGCATAATATTCCATGGTGTATATGTGCCACATTTTCCCTGTCCAGTCTATCATCGATGGGCATTTGGGTTGGTTCCAGGTCTTTGCTATTGTGAACAGTGCTGCAGTGAACATTCGTGTGCATGTGTCCTTATAGTGGAATGATTTATAATCCTTTGGATATATACCCAGTAACGGGATTGCTGGGTCAAATGGAATTTCTATTTCTAGGTCCTTGAGGAATCGCCACACTGTCTTCCACAATGGTTGAACTAATTTACACTCCCACCAACAGTGTAAACTGTTCCTATTTCTCCACATCCTCTCCAGCATCTGTTGTCTCCAGATTTTTTAATGATCGCCATTCTAACTGGCATGAGATGGTATCTCAATGCAGTTTTGATTTGCATTTCTCTAACCACCAGTGATGATGAGCATTTTTTCATATGTTTGTTGCCCTCATGTATGTCTTCTTTTGTAAAGTGTCTGTTCATATCCTTTGCCCACTTTTGAATGGGCTTGTTTTTTTTTTCTTGTAAATCTGTTTTAGTTCTTTGTAAATTCTGGATATCAGCCTTTGTCAGATGGGTAGACTGCAAAAATTTTTTCCCATTCTGTTGGTTGCTGATTCACCCTAATGACTGTTTCTTTTGCCATGCAGAAGCTGTGGAGTTTGATTAGGTCCCATTTGCCTATTTTGGCTTTTGTTGTCAATGCTTTTGGTGTTTTGGTCATGAAGTCCTTGCCTATGCCTATGTCCTGAATGGTTTTGCCTAGATTTTCTTCTAGGGTTTTTACGGTGTTAGGTCTTATATTTAAGTCTTTAATCCATCTGAAGTTAATTGTAGTGTAGGGTGTCAGGAAGGGGTCCAATTTCTGCTTTCTGCATATGGCTAGCCAGTTTTCCCAACACCATTTATTAAACAGGGAATCCTTTCCCCATTGCTTGTTTTTGTCAGGTTTGTCAAATATCTGATGGTTGTAGATATGTTGTGTTGCCTCCAAGGCCTCCGTTCTGTTCCATTGGTCTATATCTCTGTTTTGGTACCAGTACCATGCTGTTTTGATTACTGTAGCCTTGTAGTATAATTTGAAGTCCGGTAGTGTTATGCCTCCCGCTTTGTTCTTTTTGCTTAGAATTGACTTGGCTATGCGGGCTCTCTTTTGGTTCCATATGAAGTTTAAGGTGTTTTTTTCCAGTTCTGTGAAGAGGGTCATTGGTAGCTTGATGGGGATAGCATTGAATCTGTAAATTACTTTGGGCAGTATGGCCATTTTCACGATATTGATTCTTCCTAACCATGAACATGGAATGTTTCTCCATCTGTTTGTGTCCTCTCCTATTTCATTGAGCAGTGGCTTATAGTTGTCCTTGAAGACGTCTTTATGTTCCTTGTTAGTTGTATTCCTAGGTATTTTATTCTCTTTGTGGCAATTGTGAATGGCAGTTCATTATTGATTTGGCTGTGTTTAAGTCTGTTATTGGTGTATAGGAATGCTTGTGATTTTTGCACATTGATTTTGTATCCTGGGACTTTGCTGAAGTTGCTTATCAGTTTTAGTAGATTTTGGGCTGAGACAATGGGGTCTTCTAGATATACAATCATGTTGTCTGCAGATAGAGACAATTTGACTTCCTCCTTTCCTGTTTGAATACGGTTTATTTCTTTTACTTGCCTGATTGCTCTGGCTAGAACTTCCAGTACTATATCGAATAGGAGTGGTGAGAGAGGGCATCCCTGTCTAGTGCCAGATTTCAAAGCGAATGCTTCCAGTTTTGCCCATTCAGTATGATATTGGCTGTTGGTTTGTCATAAATTCCTTTTATTATTTTGAGATACGTTCCATCAATACCTAGTTTATTGAGGGTTTTTAGCATTGAGATACTTGCTATTCTTTACCTTTGTGTCAAGTAGTAGCAATTTCATTATCATGATTAATAAGGATATGGTTTAGAATTTTATCAATAAAGAGTATCTGGATAGTTTTACTCTCTAATATATTAATCTCCATTTTTACTTTTACAAGTTTTTTCTTCCTAGTTTGATTATTTTAAAATTACCTTTATTGCCTATTTTAATGTCTACTTTGTTTATTTTCCTATTTTATTTTTTATTGATACATAATAAAAACATATTGACACATTTATAAAACATATAATAATCTAATCAGGGTACTTGGGATATCTGCCACATTAAACACTTATCTTTTCTTTACCCTAGGAACATTTGATTTGTTGTCTACTAGCTCTTTTGAAATATTCAATATATTATTGTTTACCGCAGTCACTCTGCTGATTTATTGAACACTGCACCTAGATCAAGGCATTTTAGGCTAAAGGGTATTTTCTTATGTGTACAGTTTGATTCCACCCTATATTTTTAATAAATCTATTGTTTTAATGTTCTTTTCAGACTTTATAGTCTCAATTTTCTCTTTCATACAAGAATTACTTTTAAAGAATGCTTTTAATTTTAAAATACTTATTTTTTTCTATCTTCCTAAAATCAACTTCTAATTTTATTACATGGAAGTCAGAGAATGTGATCTGTACAGTGTTTTTTCTCTCCATCTAATCATTTGATCATGTCAGCAAGAAGCCTGAAGAAAATGGGAGTTAAACACAGTAGACTTAGAGAATGCTATATTAAGCATAAAAATTCTCTTTTATCTTTATTACTTTAAAATATTGTAAAATAAATTTAATACTTGCTTAAGATAGTAGATGAATGATTACTGTCTTTTACCTACTTACTGGTGGTAACATCAATTTAAATGTCTTAATGTTCAACCTAGATTACAAAATGTCTCAATTTATATGCTCACTTTCATAAGCTAAGATTTTTTTTCTTTCATATAGGAAGCATTTTTCTCCCCTCTAATATGAAACTATTTAATGTTATTATTCATTTTTATAATATAATTGAAGCATTATTTGCTTTTGTTTGCTACAATTTGGATTTACTTTCAACGTTTAAATTTTTTATAGATTTTAATGCCACTTTTCAGAATATTTCTGTTTATTCGATTGTTATTTTTACAGAACATGGTTGGAGAGTGGGCCTTACCAGAAGAAATGATTGACAATGTACCTCCCTCCAACAATCACATACTGGGCCATGTTGTTCGCAGACTATTTGAAAAGTCTCTTCCTCCTCAAGCAGAATCAACAACACCTGAATTACCTTCATTTGCTGTTAAAGGATGCTTATTGGGGAAAACGTTAAGTGGAAAAACTACCATTTTAAGGTCTCTACAAAAAGGTAGGATTTCTTCTCTCCCTCTCCCTGCCATTAGGTTCTGTTTACATGAACTATAGCTGCAAATGTCTATGTCTATAAAAAGCATACAAGAAGCACTGCTAATATGCTGAGAAATCTCTATCATCAAACATTTTATAATTGTCCAGGCTATGATTATTCAGCCACAAAAATGAGTGAGATATTGATACATGCTACAACATGGATGATCCTTGACAACATTATGCTAAGTGTAAAAAGCCAGACACAAAAGGTCATATAATGTACGAGTCTATTTGTATGAAATATCCAAAATAGACAAATACATAGAGAAAAAAGCTGAATTATTGGAAGCCAGAGGCAGGGGTAGGGGAATGAGGAGTGACAGCTTAATTGGTTTGGGATTACCTTTTAGGGTGATGAAAAATTTCGGGAACAATATAATGGTGATGGTTGCACACATTGTGAAAGTCTAAGTGCTACTGAAATGCAGCCTTGAAAATGGTGGAAATGCTTAACTTTATATGAATTTTATCACAATTTTCATTTATTTATTTTTGAGATGGAGTCTCGCTCTGTCACCCAGGCTGAAGTGCAGTGGCACAATCTCAGCTCACTGCAACTTCTGCCTCCCGAGTTCAAGCGATTCTCCTGCCTCAGCCTCCTCAGTAGCTGAGACTACAGGTGCACACCACTACACCCAGCTAGTTTTTGTATTTTTAGTAGAGATGGGGCTTCATCATGTTGGCCAGGAGGTCCTGATCTCCTGACCTTGTGATCTACCCACCTCAGCTTTCCAAGTGCTAGGATTACAGGTGTGAGCCACTGTGCCCAGCCTTGTCCCAATTTTTAAGAAAAAGCTTGATCCAAAAGGCAGTTCTAGTGGGACTGGAAGACAGTGTTATAGGGCAAATTCAGAACATAAAGTCAACAATTTCAATTTCCCAAATGAAAAGCTATTTATAAAATTATCTTTTGAACTTTAGACTTTCCTATGCAGATACTTTCTATTGACACTCTTGTTCAAGAAGCTATCCAAGCATTTCATGACAATGAAAAAGTCACTGAGGCCCTACCAATTCAGAAAAAAGATGAAGAAGATGCTCTACCGGTTCTGCAGGAGGAGATTAAAGAAAGCCAGGCAAGTATGATTCTACTTTTCTTTTCTGTGCCTAGAACATTTGAGATTTGGAACCAGATGGAAGCTAAAAGGTCTTCTAGACCAGAGATTTTTTCTGTATGGACCCAGAAAGTAAGATTTAGGTTCTACAAATGTCTAGAGAATAAACATTTAAGTTAAATATTTAGGACAAATTTTAGGCCAAGAAGCAAAATCGAGGATATTATGTGGGTACTTGTACAACAAGAGAGAGAACTCCTGTTTCTCACCAGTTTGTCTGGGTGGACCGCCTAGTGTGGTGGGCCCACTCTATGTGTAGTAGCCATCAGCAGGAGCCATTCTTCTGAGGAAACAGCCACTAGCTTGTAAGTGGGGTGGGTGAAGTGAGGAGGTTGCAGAGGGTGGAAGGGTGGCATATGATTGTTGTCGGGGAACTCAAGAAATCACCAACTCTTGGACCGAGATCCTTCCACTCAGCTTCTGGCAGTTACCAACATCAAAGTCCCCAGGGTGTAGTCAGAGACCCAATATTGGCCCTGGGCAGTGGCTGAGGCAGGTTTTGAAGCCCAGCAGGTACCGAGGTAGAGAAGGACTCCTGTCTCTCTCTCTAGTCTCACAGTGGTCAGCTGCTTCAGTGGCATTCAGAAACTAAATAAAAACAGTTGTCAGGCCACATGTGGTCTATGAGCTGTAGTATGCTGACACCTGATCTATAATAGTAGATCCCAACTGGGGGATGGCTCTCTGAAAGGTTTACCTATACCGTGTTCCCATCAATACTGCATCTTATTACATTATTGCATGAAGGTTCCTGGGGTGGAGGGGTGAATAGGAAGATGTAGCCCCACCTTCAGAATCCTTGATGTAGTCCAGCACCATCGTTCTACTGAGCAGACAGTAAAGACCCTAAGCATGAATTAGTCTGCTTGGAGTCAGAAGACTTGTCAGTGGCTTCTCTATGATTGCAATGGCAGATTTTAAGTCCACTACTCTTTCCTCTCTCTGCCTTATGCTGCCTCTGCAATGAATAACTTAGCTAAGAATCTAATCCAGGTCATTTGCATAACCTGAAAAAAATAAAAACCGTTTAACAATTAATTCTCAAAATAACTGGGAGAAGTTTTATTCATGGTGGCATATCTCTTCTTCCATGTTGTAGATGGTTTTCCATGTACTCTACCCTTTCCTCAGGTTCCACTGTCTTTTCAAAATAGTAGTTGGCATATTTTACATAGTAATTGAAGACCATTCAAAAGACAGATTATATCACAGGTTATTGTGTATTTCTGTAAGTACAGTTATCGTCCAATATTGTTTGTTTCTGGAAATAATAATTTAGGACTGAAACTTCAATTCCCTTTAAAATCATTAATGTTATCGATAAAAAATATTGTATTTGTTCTCAAACCTTTACTTACAGATGTTAAATTAGGAGGATTATTAAAATATGGCAATATTAAAATCTCTCCCTGTGTATGTGTTTTCTCTCCAAAGGATGCACAGAATGTATTTTCGGCTGGTCCAGTTTCAGATGAAGTATTACCAGAAACAGAAGGTGATACAATACTTAGTAAGATCTCAAAACAAATCATCTACTATTTACATTAGAGAGAGAATGACAGCACATATATGTGAGCACAAACATATTTTCAGGGAAATAATCAGGAACCAAGGGAAGTGTTACATAGTTGTCAACATATAGCCATTTGACAGAGGGAACGAGATCACTCTTGCCTACAGCTGGAGATAAGATGAAAATTACAAGGAAATCTTTTCAGCCTCCTTCGGATAGTTGATCAGTTTTGTTGCTGTTAAGAAAGAAACCAGAATAAATCATCCTCCTTCTTCCTGGCTCTGCAGGGAGACAGTCTTTTCTTGTTGTCACCTGTGCAAGACTGTGTGTATAAGTACAATTGGGGCTTTCTGTGTGCTGCTCTGTTCATTGTATTGCAGGAGCTGGTCTTTTTAACCTATATGCACAGTGGTTCCTGAGTTTATTCTCAACCTTGGGCACTACCAATACAACTAAGTTTCCCAAACATAAAACGTTACCTTCCTTGGGATCTGTGCTGCAGTCCTTCAGATCCTTTGTAGAACGATTGAAGGAAAACAATTTTAAATATTAAATATTTCTTTTTCTGTATGTACTAGTGAAGGCTTTGCCATATTAAATACCTTCCTCGTATTCTAGCATGAAGCCAAGCTCCTCCTGTGCTATCATTATTATTGCCATTACCATTGAACAATGTCCAGGTTTACTACGAGCATACAACACTCCAGAGCAGTTGGACTTTCCTTTTTTAAAAGGACACTATCTGTCCCTTACTCCTGTTATCTGTTTCTTAAGGATAATTTTAGTTGATTTAAAAACTATTATTTTATTACATATTTTATTATATATTAGTCTAAGTAATTATAAAGAAACTCTTTTTTTTATTATTATTTTGGATATGGAGTCTCCCTTTGTTGCCCAGGCTGGAGTGCAACGGCACGATCTTGGCTCACGCAACCTCTGTCTCCCGGGTTCAAGTGATTCTCCTTCCTCAGCTTCCCGAGTAGCTGGGATTACAGGTGCCCACCACCACGCCCAGCTATTTTTTGTATTTTTAGTAGAGATGATGTTTCACCATTTTGGCCAGGCTGGTCTCGAACTCCTAACCTCAGGTGATCCACCCACCTGGACCTCTCAAAGTGTTGGGATTACAGACGTGAGCCACCACGCCTGGCCCACTAAACAAACTCTTAAAACTTCTTTTTTTTCCACAGAGTTTAATTTAAAACACCTCTGACTTGTAGAGTCATCTGCTTTTAAGATACTTATCTATAACTTGATAATCCAGGAACAAAAAACTGTGAAAAATTAACATTTTAATGTTTTTTAAGAAAAACTTGACTGTCTTCTGAAAAGCTTCCCCCGACTGTGTTGAAGTGTTCCTAATGATATTTTTATGAGCTCAGATCAATCAGGAAGGGAGGGTATAAGGGAAGGAGGGAGGGAGAGCGTCAGGGAGGGAAGTAAGGAGGAAGCAGAAACACCAAGACACACGGTGACCAGGATCTTAGTGGTGTGAGTGAAGGTAAAAGCTATACTGTGGCGATTCTATTACTTCCTTCCCCTGAGTATCTCAGGCATAGATGGATCATAACCCTTATGTCCAAAACCATAGATGGTCAAATACTGCTGTGGTTGTTAGGTATAAATACCAGAAATTTATTCTTACCACTTTTCCTATTGCTAGATGCTAATGCTGATAAAACACCAAAAGCTGAAGAAGTCAAATCAAGTGATCATCTCTTAAAAGTAAGTATTATGATCTAAATATAGCTAGTAGCATATTAAAATGTGTCATGATTAATGGCCTTTTGGAGTGTCTTCAAATGCAATTAAATTGCAGTGTGCTCTTTGGTTTTAAAGTAAATTTGATGGTATAATATTAGCTTATCTGACTTTACTTAGCATTCTTTGTATTCTCAATATTTTTATCAAAAGCAGTGGAAATTACTCTTCACTTTTGCCAGGGTGATAAACATGTGCTTTTAAAAATTTTAGACTAAGGCCAAGCTCATTTTTGTGTGTTTTTCTTTACCATTTAATTTATGACTTTTATTTCCCTTATACCCTCTTTACCTTTAAATATTTTTTTCCAGATATTATCCTCACTCTTGTTGGTGACTCTGTAGAATTTTTTTATTAATTCCTGAGAAAATGTTTCCAACAATTCACTGTTTCTCCTAATGGAATCTAATTGGTCATCAAATAAAATGGCCAGACTAAATCAAGTGAAATTTTACTTTTTATTACATTTGATTATTTTTGTAATGCATCTCATTATGAAAAACAGTTTTATAATATTTTAGATTTCAAAACTGCTTAAAGATAGAAAAAGTTTTGGAAGAATATACACCAAACTGTAAACAAGGTGACCAGTGGGAAGGGAAGTGAGTTCAGAAAAAGCAAGAAAAGGGGACTTACAATTTTTATTCTGTGCAGTTGAAATATGAATTAGAAGAAAGGATAAGTATGTTTTTATATTTATATTTATTGATTTTTTCACAAATTCTATATTCAATTCAATTCAAAGAGCATATGTTGTTTTGTACACTGTTTTAATAACTCGGATATACCAGTAAATACAAAAGACAGGAGTCCCTGACCTTATGATGTTTACATTCTAATGGAGAGAGAAATAATAAACTATGATACATATGGTGTTGAAGATGATGATCAGTGTCATGAAAAAGGAAACATGGAGTGGAGCAAGTAGAGGGTGCACAGGCAAGGAATAAAAGATGTGCACAGCAGTGAGATGAGTTGTGATGGGGATTAAAAAAAAAAAAAGTGAAAGAGGCACAGTTGGTCACCTTATGACATTAGGCAGGCCTCCTTAAGCAGATTCAAAGAGTGAGAGAACCAGTGCACTGGATTTGGGGAAGTGTTCCAGACTGTGAGGATAGTGAGGCAGGAAGGTGCCTGGCCACAGGGGCCAGAGAGTATTTTATTTAGTGAAGGATGAGGTTAGAGACATATATCAGGAAGGAGAAGAATCAGATCAGTCAGAGACTCAGGCAATTATCGGGACATTTGGAGTAAAAGGGATAGTTTTAATAGGGTTTGGAATAGAGCGACACCATTTGACATAAAATTCTCACTCTGGCGGCTAAGAATAGACTCTAGGGAAGTTCCTGTTTCAGTGATATTGAATAGCTTGTATTGGACTAACCTACAAATACAATTATAAACACCAGGCGAAATATAAAAGCTAATTATTTGAGGGCTAAAAGAAGACAGCAAATAAGCAAGCAGCCAACAGCAGACAGAAAATCTGTGGAATTTGACCATGGAAAGATGAGAACTTCACTGGGCAAGGACCATGTTTATATGGGTTTTCCCCAGAGGGCATGCCCCAGTCTACATGGCATGAGTGGCTAGAACCCAAGCAGAGAGCTCAATCTTTCTGATTTCAGGTATTAGAGAATTAAGTTTGGGGATGCAAAAGCAGCTGAAATTTGAAAAATATGAGCTTGAAAGGGAAGGAGGCTCAAAGGAAGAGCCTCAAGTTCTGCACACAAATTTTCCTGAAGTGCTTTCCTGACGCCAGAATTGTGCCACATGATCAGTGTCATCATCAGAGAGCACAGTAATTTAATTGATTTTTCCTCCAGATGTTTGGAATTTGACTTTTGAATTAGCCATCTTCTGTCATTTCTTGTTTATTTTCCCAGCTCACTACGCGTGCTCAGCTTGGCGCAAAATCAGAACAGTTACTGAAGAAAGGAAAGAGCATTCCTGACGTGCTGCTTGTTGGCATCATGGTAAATGCTATTAAGTATGTATAGCATTTTTCTTCTTCATATCTACTTAATATATTCTTTATCACACAAAAATGTATAAAGAATAATATGGGAATTTTTTTGTTTTAGTATCTCATAAATTTTACTCATCTGTATAAGAAAATATACAGCAATGAAAAGATAGACATATTTTGTGATTTAAATCCCTATATTCCACATCTTCTCCTGTACCAATCTTGACTTCTTGTACCCAGACATGAATAAAGTCGGGTTCTATTACCTGTGGGGAATTTAAGGAGAAATTGAATAACTGGAAAAGCCAAGGGAAAGACTCAACTCTGTGGTCACAGACCATGGTGCTTCCTCATTTTATGTTTCAGGAAGAGAGGTCAGAAAGCTGAACCCAGGGATCCAAAGACTGGGCAAAGGCTGGGCAGTGCTGGGACAGGAAGGCAAGGGCAGAGTAGAGGGTGCACAGGCAAGGAATAAAGGATGTGCACAGCACTGAGATGACATGTGATAGGGGATTAAAAAAAATAAAAATAGGCTGTAATTTTGTCATTTCTCATATTCTTTGCAAGAAGAATCACCCCTCAGCCCTCCTTTGTAACGCAGAAAAAGGAAAAACTAAAAGAAGTCACAGAGAGTGGCTTTTATCTGTGAGGAATACATTTCATACCCCCAGTAGGTTTCTGAATCCTCACATAGTACCAATCCCTATAAATACTGTTTTTTCTATACCATCCATATATACCTATGTTAATAACTAATTTATAAATTAGGCACATAAGAAATTAACAACAAAAATAAAACAGAATAATTTTTCATAAGAGTACTCCATAATAAAAGTTGTGTGAATGTAGTCCTTCTCAAAATACCCTGTTGTACTGTACTCACCTATCTGCAGACCATGGCTGACCGTAGGTAACTGAAACCACCGAAGTGAAACTGCAGCTATGGAGGGGCTACCGTAATCATTTCACATTGCATCCATATATCAAAATGTCATTTGTAAACCTTAAATAAAAGATTTTTGATTTGTCAGTTATACCTCAATAAATCTGAGGGGAAAAAAGAAGCCATAGAGACTCGGCTGATACATGTAATAAAGAGATAAGGCCAAGCAGGATGGAGAAAACTGTCAAAAAGCCCCCTGAGAAAGAGCTGCGGACAGCTTAGAGTAAGTGAGGAAGCAGAATTGATAGTGAGATGTGGGATGTGGAACCAGTGAGACCAAGGAGGGCTGAGAGCTCTACTCTGCATCTGGAATGGACTTTTTAAAAAAGATGACATTAAAGATTTAAGTTGCTTCTCAATGATGATGTATCTAGAAATCAGATCTCAGGGCTTGCCTAGATCTAGGAGGGGCCTCACTCTAATAGCTGTAACATTTCTCAGAAGTGGCGTAAAGCATGTTTCAGCCGTGGAATTCTTTGCTTCTGCTCAAAAGAAAAATGCATGTGAAAAGCACCAGATATAAAGCAGCGCTTCACTTGAGTTTCGGTGGAACTGAAACCTCCACACCCCATCGTCAGAACTCTATGATCCTCCTTCCACCGCCACCATCCTCATTGCCCCTGAGGAACCTCCAGATGACAGTCATCGGTGTGAGATCTTTGATCCAGTCTCAATTTCTCCTTTTTCTATAAGGAAAGGGAGGCACACGACAGTTCAGTGAGGGGCTTCAGTTACATGGGGTTAGTGGTATAGCGCCGGCTCCTGACTCCCCCTCATCTCGTCCTCACATTACAGCTGAACAAGGGTAGCCCTGACTTCCCCCTTCCTCTGAAGTGCCTCCTGCAATTGTGGGTGAAGGTACTGTACTCAAGGGAATTCTCTTTCCCATCTTAGCCCAATGAATCAACAAATTTGTTCTATGCAGAATGCTTCACCAAGCTCTAGACAAGTTATAAAAGCAAAATGAAACCTTTTCTTGCTCTTAAGACCCTAATGAGGAAAATATAGGCGTGAACTATATTCAAATGACCTGAAGACAGCTTGATACTATGGAAAGATCATTGGATTTGGGTAATTTTTAGTTTTGTAACTTTGAACAAGTAATGAAATCTCCCTTAACTTCTGTTTTCTCCACCCTTCCTTGCTACACTAGCAGAAAGATCACATGCAGTCCCCAAAGCAGACTCAGAAACCTTTGGAAAGGGCATTCCATTGTTTAATGCGAGCTCCAAGAGAAACAAATGAAATAATACCTTTTAATCCAAAGGCCAAAAACTCAATTTTGCATAATTTAAGGGCTTAGAACAACAAATTTGAAGTTTATGCTTTTCTCACCTTGTTTTCCAGCTGCAAATTAAAACAATAGTTATTGAACACCCATTCTCTGAAGAGGATATTGTGCTGAGTGCAAAAACCCAGTTGTACTTCAGCATCCTATAATCTAATTGAGGTTTTAAAAGATTCACTTGAATTTGTGTTGAGCAGAGAAATTAATCACCACTTGCATGGTGAAGTAAGTGAAAGTCAGAGAAATTCAGATCAGGCTACTATGACCCTACACAGGATTGGCTGGGATAGGAAAAGCTCTCCCAGTTGGCAGTACAAGTATCCAGTATGTGCTAAGCTCTGTGCTGAGGTTTTAAAATACATCATTTCAGTTAATACTCACAGCTACCTTATGAGGTATGTTATGTAACCCCATTGTATAAATGAGGAAGCTGAGGTCCAAAGGAGGAACAGTCTATGAACACAAGATAGAAAATGCAATTCATACTAACATTACATTGAGGAGATGAGTTTGTTTGAAGTAAATGGTTCAAAATTGTAAGTGATAAGTTGTAGAGAAATAAGGTGTTGATATGGTTTGGCTGTGTCCCACCCAAATCTTGCCTTGAATTGTAGCTCCCATAATTCCCATGTGTTGTGGGAGGGACCTGGTGGGAGATGATTGAATCCTGGGGGCAGGTCTTTCCCATGGTATCACTTTCTTGTAATAGTGAATGGGTCTCACGAGATCTGATGGTTTTAAAAACGGGAGTTTCTTTGCACAAGCTCTCTCTTTGCCTGCTGCCATCCATGTGACTTGCTCCTCCTTCCCTCCCACCATGATTGTGAGGCCTCCCAGCCATGTGGAACTGTGAGTCCAATTAAACCTCTTTCTTTTGTAACTTGCCCAATCTCAGATATATCTTTATCAAGTGTGATAAAGGACTAATACAGGTGTGGCCAGTTAATTTTAATGTGGTAAAACCTCTGGAATAGATTTGGAGGGCAGCAAGTATCCACAGAAGAATTTTAAGGACATTAATGTGACACATTAGAAACTTAATCTTTTAGCTATAAAGTAATGAAATTCATGCAGAAGGAAGTTGTTGTGGAATTGAAAGAAAAGAGAAAAATTCATCATATTATTTCCAAAGTACCTGTGTCTAACAAAATATTCATGAGTTGTCCTGTTTCAATTTAGCATGATACCTGTGAATCAAGACTGGATCCTAGATGGTTTTCCAATGACTTTAAACCAAGCACAGCTTCTGGAAGAAGCTCTTACGGGCTGCAATAGAAACCTCATAGAAGAGAAGAGAAAAAAAGCACAAAAATCCACTTTGGCTATTGATCCTGTGACTTACAAAGAAGTACCTCTTCCCTCTTCTGCATTTGATTTTGTCATATTGTTAGACATTTCAGATAATTCCTCCATGAGTCGCATGAATGATATAATAGGTAAGCTGGACACCTTTTTTGACACCTTTTTTACAATGACAACTGTTTGTTCTTTGAATCCATGAATACTCCCATTTACAATTATAAGGGAGTACAAAATAATCCACTTCAGCCTATCAAAGAATTATGTAGCCGAGCATAGTTGCCTCTTGCTTTAACTGTTAGCATTCAGTACTGTGGGCAAAGCCTGGAACTAAATTCCAGTCTAACTGCAAGCATCTCACTGAACCTTTTCATCAACTTGGGAGATCCCCTGGCATAGGGGTGTTTTCTTGAGACATGCACATATAGAAGAGGGCATTGTGACTTTCTAGCATGTTTTGGTGGGTCACCCTTTTGAGGGTCATAAACCATATCTGTGCTGTAAGAAAGGATCTTATAACATCTTCTCCTTCGACCGAGTATTCTGAAGAGCAGGTATCAGTTGGCTGAAAACGTCACATGATGGGGTTGAATCGTCTTGCAAAAATTCACAGTTTATTTAACTCTTTTTCAACCTTGAAAAAAAATCCTTTATTCCACAACTTAAATACTTATTGGTAAAAGCATTGATTCTTGAACCTTGGCTTTCTTATGTATGAGGAGATATTTGACCTTGGGAAAGTTACTTTATTATTCTAAGCCTCAGTGTCACAATCTTTATGATAGAATGGCTTGTTGGATTGTTATGGGAATTAAATGAGATCAGAGTTACATGCTTAGGATAGAATCTGGCACATGATAATAAACGTGGTAAATATATCAGGGAAAAATGATAGAAGACTTTGAAATCAACAAATGATTACCTGAACATCATTTTACTAGAAGGCTGAGTATTGACTCGAACCCTTGGGGGTACCTGATTTCATTGGGTTTTGACTCAGTTCTTCTATAACTCTATAAATAGCAGGAAACTGATAGTAATGCAAATGATTCTTGTTCTTAGGAATGAAAATAAATTGTGTTCAGCTGAGACCATTTCCACATTGTAGAAAAGATGATTTGAAATACTTGAGCCCAGGAGTTTGAGATCAGCCTAGGCAACATGGCAAGACCTTGTCTCTACAAAAAATTAAAATAATAAAAAAAAAGCCAACATGGAGGCACATGTCTGTGATTCTAGCTACTTGGGAGGCTGAGGTGGGGGGATTACTTGAACCCAGGAATTCGAGGCTGCAATGAGTCATGATCACGCCACTGCACTTCAACCTGGGTAACAGAGCGAGACCCTGCCTCCAAAAAAATCACACTGCTCTATAGATAGAAACCAGAATTTAGTGGGGAGAGCAAAGGAAGAAGTGTGTAGAAGCAGCAGCTAAATGGAGAAGAAAGCCTGGGAGAGGAATGTCTCATAAGCCAAGGAAGGACAAATTTTCAAGGCAAATGTGTCACCCAGTCCCCCTTCTAGACCAGCAGGAGCCTGGGCTGAGTGGGAGCCTAGCCACTAGGGTCAGGTGCAGCATGCAGTTCTGCAGTGCTCGGGGCCTGTGGGGAAACCTGAGGAACATCATCGCAGAGAAGCACTTTACATCCAAAGCCACGTGGGCTACAGAGTCCTGCAGGGCTGGGCTGAGATAAATGGTCCAGACTCGAAGCCAATGGGCAGGAGACTGGGAACCTAAGGAGAGGGAGTGGCCATTGTGAGAGTAAAAGGCTGCATCGGAATGGAAAAGGAGGTGGCTGCCTCTGCTGTTTAGTCATTTGTCAGCCTGAGATAGAACAGTAATGTTCACCCTCTGGTGAGAGGTACAGACAGGTTTTGAATTCAGGCTTCAAATACTGACCCTTTGTGGCTAATAAGTAATTGAAAAGAAACAGGAGGGGTCTTCTGGGACTGATGATGTTTGTATATCTGGGTGCTGACTGTCTTCACTTCAGGAATTCATGGAGCTACTGTATATTCGTGTATGCATTTTTTGGCAAGTATAATTCAACAAAGACTATAAAAATTAAAAAGGAGTCCAGAATCTGGAGTTACATTACTGAGAATTAAATCCCTTCTCTACCATTTATGAACTGTGCAATTTGAAGCTAATTATGGAATCTTGATCCTGCAAGTTTCTGTTGAGTATAAAACGGCATAATATGTATAACAGCTTTTAAGAATTGTATGCCAAATTTTACCTATTAGTACTACAGAGAAGCCAAAATGAGGACTGAAGTGTGTCCTTTGGCATTTTTGGTGACCATTATGCAAGCCATTTCATGGAGGGTAGGAGAGAAAAGGAAGGATTGCAGTGAGGTGTGAGTGGGAGGGGCAAAGATGGGGAGTGAGTGGAGATAACGCCCAAGAAGTTAATCTCTAAAAGAAAAAAAAAAAAGAGCTGTGGCCACAGGATATTTGTTAGTTTTTTTATTTCTCTATTTGTTTTAGAAAACATTCCGTGTGTGTGTGTGTGTGTGTGTGTGTGTGTGTGTGTGTGTGTGTGTAAGCTTTAAAATTCAGCTATTTTATATGTATATATATGAAAGAGCTCAGCTGATTTTCTGAGCTAGGGAATTAGTGAGAATAAAGGATGTGCATTTTTATTCAAAGATATTTACCACATAAGTCTTAAAAAAATGATATCATCTAAGGCTGGTAAAGAAGGACACAGAAATTGGAGTTGTTAAGGGACAGAGAGAACATGAAGTGTTCGTTCACGCAGTTTAGGTTTGCTAGAAAGCATAAAGTGAAGTTAGGATAATGCGGATAAATTCGGAAAAAAGGAGGTAGGAATTTAGGGACTGGATGCTCGTGATGATGTTCTTCGGGTTTCTCCAAATCAAGAATTTTAAAGCATCATTCTGTATTCTAAATTGATTTCCCCTTGTTCTATTATGAATGGAGATGAAGAACAACTGATTACTATATCCCGTGAGGGTTCTTGGGTTTCTTGAACTCTATTAATTCACTATTCAATGTTCTCTTCCATTGAGTAATTCTAATTTCTTTTAATCTAGTTCAAGGCTTTCTTTTCTTTTTATGATTTTTTATGTATTCTAAATTGGTGAATATTCTGGACTTTGTACCACAAATCCAGAATAGGACTCAATCAGAGCTGTTGAGATTGTTTTTTTGTTTGTTTGTTTTGGTCTCTTCAGGTCTATTCCTTTATGTCTATTCTGCAGGGAGATCATAAAGTCTAAAAAGAAACAGAATAATTTTATTGTATTGCAATATAATATCAAGAAATAATTTTATGCATATTTGACATTCTGGCCACCTTGTTCTTTCATCTTAATTTTTATATCACCATATTAATTTTTCTAATTCAGTTCAAGTTAATTATTCATGATGACCCATCATTTTTCATTCTCGTCTGTCATAATCAACCCTCAGATCCTCTACTCTGAAACTGCAACTTTTCTTTAATGTATTCCTTATTTTCCACAATTTCCAAGAAAAAAATCAAATTCTTATCTCAAAACTATACTCTTTCAATGTCTTTTAAAACATTTTTTTTCTTTTCTTCTCTTTTCTTTATATAAATATAGAAACAAGAGAAGGAGAGAGAGAAGAAACAGCTAACTCTCACAGTGAGTGAGAGAATCCAGAAAGATCGAATCCAGGAGAGGAAAGCAGCTTCCACACTGAGTGGAAGGGAATAGAGAGAGATGGAGTTTAGGAGGGGGAAGACAGGCTTCCACAAAGGGAGTGTTCGTGGAAGGGGACTCCAGAGGGAAAATTCAGGATAGAGAAAAACAGCTTCCATGAGCACGAGAGTGTTTGTGGAAGGGGACCCAAACATGGAGTCCCCCTTTTAAACCATTGTTGAGAAACATTGGATCAAATACAGGAACCATATCTGTTTGGCATCTTGCATCAGTATATTTTAGCAGTAAGTAGCAACTTTGGTTTTGAAAATTATCTAATTAAATCAGTTTTATACCATAGCTGAAGAATTTTCTTATGAAACTGCTCAAGAAGATATCAGTCAACGTGTAGCTGCTGAAAACCAAGATAAAGATGAAGACCAGAATTTAAGAGACCAGATACAACATAGGTTAGTTTTTAACTAAATGCTCTGCTTCTTGTTTCATGCTCTCTGAATAAATTGCCAATCACTTTGGAATCATCATATCTAGAAGAATATCCATTTCTTAGCATTCAGTCTTTTACAGGTAAAAGAAAACAAAGTAGTTTTGATAATTAGTAAAATATTTATGTGCTGGTTTTCACATTTAGAGTGCAAGTCATTATAGTCTGAAAAAATAAGAATTAAATCAGGAAATGCTTCCCTTTATGGTTACATGAACTTGTAAGTTAATTCTATGGAATCCTGATTCAGCACTCATTAAGGAAATGCCAGTGAAGATGGTGGAACTTCACAGACCCAAGCATCAGAGTATAAACTACTTCTATTTTGCTAAAATAAAATTATTCTTTTGGTCGTTTGCAATTTTACATTGGAATTGGAAATTTTGACCAAATTAGACATTTTTATGAAACCCTGTAAAGCTCAACAATATGAAATGAACCAGAGAAGAATAATTTGAGCTACATTAAGGCTGTCTACTCTGCAGGAGGAAGGAAAAAACAGTTTTAAGAATTATTCCAAGAACACTTTCAAGTAAAGCAGATAAGCCTAAACCATCTATGCTTACTCAAAGACCTCTTCAATTTCTATCTCTTAGAAAAAGATAAACAGCCGAGGTTAATCAGGCTGTAGCTACCTTCCGAAGAGCATTCAGTTATTGTACTGTGAGCACAGAAGATGTTTTCTTAGATTTTCACTTAGAGACCTGAACTTATACTGAACGTTTTCCTGAATCAATGACATTTTCCTCTTTTACTCTCATACATCTCAAAAATATGTCTTGATAACATTAAATATTTCTTTTTTAACCTAAAGTAAATAACATTGTTTCTTTTTCTATAATATTGGCAATCCATGTTTCCATTATGCATGTTGAATAAATTATACTTAATGTCATTCTAGTCTTTTGATCAGCATGAGATATTAATATAATATTTTGATTTTGCAGAATTATAGGTTTCTTGGACCACTGGCCCTTATTGGAGCAATGGTTTTCAGAGCCAGAAAATATTTTGATAAAAATCAATGCTGAAATAGATAAGGAATCTTTATGTCAAAAACTAAAAGAAATTTTTGCAGTTGAAATAGTGAAAAAAAAGAATAAAGGTATTTAAATTTGTTTACAGTTTTTAGTTTATGCAACTAAAATGTGTGGTTTTAATGAGTTTGGGAGGAAATAAAGATGTGATTGAAATGTTCTTTCTTTTTTTTTTTTTGAAATGTTCTTTCTTATATTTGGATTTATACTATTTACAAGTGTGTTCTGCTCTGTCTGCTTCTAGCTTTAGCTTTCTGTTGTATGTGTTTCTGAATAAAATATTTTTTTTCTCTTTTATTTTAATCAAAAAGAGGTCATCTCTCTGAAAGCATTGTTTTCATGTAAACACAACAACAAAAAACACTCATCAGACTTCAATTTAAAGATATTAATTCACATTTTACCCTCTGGATATATGCAATCTTTATTTGTTAATTAAATATTTTTAAGTAAAAAAAAATGAAAATTAGGGATATTGCAGATAAGGGTAAAGGTTTTCTTTGTTAGCTTTAGCATTGTCAAGAAACTGTATGATTTCTTCTTTTAAAATGAACACACTAGGCAATTCGTTTTTTCTCAAATCCACCTATTTTGTTATGAGTTTCTTTATTATTATTAATTAAATTGATCATTATTTATTAACTTGCTTTCATGTTATATCTCACACACATTAAACTACCCAGATATCTTTCTCCTTCATTCAGCCAATGATAAGTGCCCACTAACTGTTTATACTATTATTGAAGTTTCTTATTTAAAGAGATTTTAAGTTCAGTCCAATGTCAGATTTCCACTGAGATTTTACCTTCAAGAAATGATTTGAAAAAGAAATGTTTCATTTTTGTTTATCAGTCACCCCTAATTATACTGGCAACTACAGTTTCTTGGTATAATAAAAAATGGTCAAAGTTAATAGTATCAAAAGGATTCTAAAGTTGCCTTGAAAGCATACTGCCTCCTGTCGCTAAATTTGTGACCTAAAGTACCATAACGTGTTGGTTAACTAATATTAAAATAACCCATCGCGATAAACCACAATCACCATGGAAATCCAGGACCTCACACTTAGAAAGACAAGCTCCTACATCTAAATGCCTACTCCAAAAACCACCAGCATGAACCCTTCAAATAAAAAACAATCATATTGTATTTTAAGAGACTTAACATGTCATTTGACAGAAACGAGGCTGACAGGAGGGAGAAACCTTCCATAGCAATCTTACAAAGTCTTGGTTGGGAAGCAAAAACAAACTGATTCTAACCCATAAAGGCTTGATGCTACATGTTAGAATCAGTTTGTTTTTGCCAACTATTAGACTCAACTTCACATTTTCCTAAACAGTATACATTCTAATAAAAACTGACTACATTAATAGACTTAGTTATCACTTATTTTAGATGTATACTTCAAACAGGTAATTAACAAATATTTAATCATTAAAATAATAAACATTAACCTAGCCCAGTGTTCCATAGTAAACATCCCGATTAAGTTAAAAACTAAAATAATGTGCTAAATCATGAATTAGCTTTAAATATGTAAGAGTGTTTTATATTAATTTAAATTTCTCTTAGTTCAAGTGAAACATTAGATGTCTGGAGTTTCTAATGAAGGTCAATTCTTATCATCCTTTTGAAGTTGAGAAGAAATTAGAAGAAAAGGAAGCTGAGGAAAAAGCAGCAGCCTCCCTGGCTGAGCTTCTACTTCCTGCACCTTCTCCCGCTCCTCCTCCTGAAACAGAAAAAGAGAAGGAAATTCATCTTCAGCATGTGCCTTCAAAAACTCCTAGTGCAAAAGGAAAACCTAAATCAGGTGATTGACAGAATGATTTATAACCTTGTTTTTCGGTTTCTTATTTTTAGTCAGTAAAGAATTATAAACTATAGTCTATCTACATTCAGACTTTGGGCAACTTCAATCATATGAAACAAGGCTTCACACTCAGATGGAAGTGGAAAAGCCCTCATAGTAGCTAAAAGCGTGGTTGTTACAAAGCCCAGCTTCTTCATTGTGTAGGAGGAGACATGGAGTCATCACACCTAGGTCTACCAATAAGAGTAAGATCACAGATGAGAAGAGGAAAAGGCACACAGTAACAGATAACTTCAGGCAGATCAAGAGGATGCACATCTGTTTGCTGAACTATGAGTTACATTTATGTATAGAGTAAGAATGTCTTAATAAAATAAGAATGAGTATATCTGGTTTTCTACCGGAATAAGGGAACAAATTAACAGCATCCATTAGAACTAGAATTTATATGTAACTGTAAATCTTCAGGACTATGTGATTATACAGTATAGAAACAAGCTCCTGCCATCTCAGTAAACATATATGTATGGAGCCTAGGTAGAGAACATTTTTAGTTTTTTTCTAGATCTTTAACCACTAAGGATGATAAGTCTAGCATTAAATGGTAAACGGTGAATATAATAACGAAAGAAAAGTGCTCAATTGTTGTTGTAATGCATGCTATTGGTAGAGTGTCAGTATCCTGTTGTGTGTGTATATAAAACATATAAGGCTTTAGTTTCTAGTTTCAGCTTTATAAATGACTGTGCAGTTACACCGTGTCTAAGTATCTTTGATATTGTGTCATGACGTTTCTAAATTCCATAGTCTTTCTGCTTCATGGAGATTTGAGATAGGTCTGAAGTTTTTTAATTAAACCCATTCATATAAACAAAGAAATTTGAAGACTTTAGTAAGATATATTATGGAATATTAAAGACCATTTCATTCCAGGAAATTAGAACTTTACTAAGGGGAAAACACACAAACTCTAAAAAATGTTTTTATCATATAAACAATAAAACACAAAGACATGAATTAAATATACACCATTTTCCCACTGTTTCATTAAGAAATTAAAAAACAATTCAGAGGTCTGGAGGAAGATAGAAATCTTTTAAATGCTTTTTAGAACTAGTGAAGACAGGCTGGGTGCGGTGGCTCATGCCTGTAAATCCCTGCACTTTGGGAGGCTGAGGAGGGCGGATCACCTGAGGTCAGGAGTTCAAGACAAGCCTGGCCAACTTGGCAAAACCCCATCTCTATTAAAAATACAAAAATTAGCTGGGCATGTTGGCAGGTGTCTGTAATCCCAGCTACTCGGGAGGCTGAGGCAGGAGAATCACTTGAACTGGGAGGTGGAGATTGCAGTGAGCCGAGATCGCGACATTGCACTCCTACCTGGGGAGCGAGACTCTGCCTCCAAAAAAGAAAAAGAAAAGAAAAAAAGAACTTCAGAAGACAGTTTTCACAGTGGCTAAAGTGAGCCTGGAATTATCAATCCTTTAACCGATAGCTATGGCTCTACATCTCTTGCTCCTCCTCAGCTTGCTCCAGTCAGGAGCACCTATGTATTTGAGCCATTCCCTGAAACCAGTCTCTAGGGTTTCTGATAAAGAAAGCTCAGTCTTTAAGTTTCTGAAGTTTGCTATTTTATAATTGTATTCTTGAATACTGTTCATTGGAGAAATAATAAATCTATTGTTGCTTTAAAGAGTGGTTGTACTTGTCTTTTTTTCCCACCAATGTCAGGGCTAATGCCTGATATTTAAGAATGTTTAGAAAAGTTAATCTCCAGAGTCCCAATTGCTGCCATCCAACCTCAGTATGATGAGCACTGATGGGGCAGGAGATCAGATAGCACTGCCCCTGCAGCTGAGAGAATCTTGGTTAAGCAATTTTGGAGAGGAACGTTTATCATAGGTTTTTAAAATTTTTGTATAAATAGTTCACAAATTTTCCAAAATGGAACATTTTTAGACTTGAAAGCCTGGGGCTTCTGAACATGCCCTACTCAAACATCTAAGTACAGTCTTCAGTAGAAGCTGAGATGAAAAGAGGAATTATTTACTAAAAAACAAAATGAAAATTTTGAAAGGGGCTAGCACATTGAACTCCTAACAGTTATTTTGTTCAAAAATTGTTCTATATTTTATTCAGTTCTGTATTATATATCTGGTTCAATTATACTTGGGATTAAATTTTTAATTCTTCATATTTATGTTCCATTAAAGGGTCTATTATCAAATACAGTATCAGTTGTCAGTATTTAATTTAGAATTAGTTCTTAGTATGGCACACAGAATAATACTACCTATACTTCTATTTAGGTTTTTCTTTCTTTCCTTCCCTCTCCCCTCCCTCCCTTCTTCTTTCCTTTCCTCCCTCCCTCCCTCCCTCTCTCCACCCTTTCTCTCTCCCTCCTCTCTCCCTCCCTCTTTTCCATCCCTCTCTTTCATCCCTCCTCCCTCTTTCTTCCAGATTTACTTATCAACTATTTGGATTTTTAAACATCCATTTAGAGAGATTAACAAAGTCACCTGTCTTATTTCTGTGGAATCTTGGTTGTCATGTCTGTGACATTTAAATGTAAGTGAGAGGTGCTAGGGATTTATACATTCTTATAACTATCACTTCAAAATACAAAACAATAGGTTAGAGGGAGTCTCTCTCCATCACAGGCATTTAAATTGCCATACTGGTTCATCCTTTAAAATGAAGGAAAACAATATAGCCCAGGACCAAGGAAGGAAAATAATTAAATTTGTTTGGTAAATAATGCAGGATGTAGTGAATTTTTTTTTCAAGAAACAAACTCATTAATTGGTGCATCTCCAAATCAATTTCTCCCTTCCAGTATATTTCTGAACTATATCTCAGGGAATTTAAGATAAATATACTCACATCATTTCTGGCATTACAATTACAGTCAATGAAAAATGTGGAAGTTACAAGGCGTGTGACCAAGAGAAGTGCAAGGGTGCAGCATATCAAAACAATGTGGTTATATAACTCTTCTTCAAAGTGTCCGGCCATCATTTTTATTTTATTTTATCATTTTATTTACTTATTTAATTTTTAGAAACAGGGTCTCACTATGTTGCCCAGGCCAGACTCAAACTCCCGGGCTTAAGCCATCCTCCGGCCTCAATTTCCTCATAGCTGGGACTACAGGCACATTCCACCATACCCGGCTTTGACATCACTTTTATTACAGATACAGTTGTCTCATTGTATAGCCACATTCGGTTGAAATAAATCCAAATACAGCCATATGCTTCAAATGGACTTGTGATTATCTTTTAAAAACACCACAGCTAGTTCCATTAAAGAGTTTATGATCAAATCTATTACCAAATTTTTATATTAAAGTTAGGACTAAATGTCTCAATATGAGAGAATAATGCTGCTATTAGAGCTATCATTCCAGAAGTTTCAGTCCATAGTCTGACTTCAGAGTAATTTTAACTCATAGTAAAGACCTGAGCCATTTTATGCAGTTCACAAATGTAACTGTTTACCTATGGGAAATAGCATTAGCTTGCTTTCAAATCATATAGCCCAGGCTATTGAAGTAAATCATCAGTGACTTTTGTGTGTTGAATTTTGTTTAGAAGCCCCGCCTGGTAAGCAAGAATCTCCTCAGGAAGGAAAAGGAAAGAAAGGTGAGACTGCACTCAAAAGAAAAGGTACAGCACATAAAAATAGATATGATTACATGTAATTCTGTATTTTATAACTATTTCAGTGAAAATAGCTAGATTTGTGTAGTGGTATACATTGACTACTTCTCTCAGGCATTTGTAAATCGTAAGCTGTGCCAAAGAATATAACCTCAAACTTTCTGTATCCTAGTGCTTACCAAAGGCCCTGCTGAGAAAAGTGATGCTGGCAGGGATAATTTAGAGAAAATCTAATATGCAGAATATCCATTCATCAGATATATTATAGCTGTTATCCTTGAGCTAAACTGTGCCATCAGAAAACTACATACTGAATCAAATTTTCTTGGATTTCTTGTTGAATTTCCTTCACTGATAGGCACACTGGTAAAAAAATAAAATAAAAATCTTACATTATCTTAGAACATTTAAAAAACTAAGGAAGTAACCTTGATACAATACTGTTAACTAAAGTAGAATGTTTGATTTTTACCATCTATTTTTAGTGGAACTCTTGAAGTTAGTTTTTGAGACCTGTCCTACATTTTTTGTAATAATTAAAGCCAGTAATTTATAAACAAAGATATGAATTGGGGCTGGGCATGGTGGCTAAATCCTGTAATCCCAGCCTTTTGGGAGGCTGAGGAAGGCAAATCTTGAAGTCAAGAGACTGAGACCATCCTGCCAACATGGTGAAACCCTATCTCTACTAAAAAAAAAAAAAATACAAAAATTAGCCAGGTGTGGTGGCACTCAACTGTAGTCCCAGTTACTAGGGAGGCTGAGGCAGGAGAATTGCTTGAACCCAGGTGACGGAGGTTGCAGTGAGCCAAGATCGCACCATTTCACTCAAAAAAAAAAAAAAGAAAAGAATTGGAAGCAACAAATATTTACAGCTTGATGTAACTTATTGGTGTAACTACATACTGGCAAAGGATTTTAATGATTTTTACTTTATTCTAATTTATATTTCATGCAAGGGATTTTAATTCTTATTAAGTATTACTTATTTGAGTTTCTTTAGAAAATTCTTCAACCATCTAAGAGTAAAGAAAACTTTAAAGAGCTCTTGCAAATATTTTAGAGAACTTTGAGTTATTGTCCCCTCCTCCAACCCCACTCTGTGCTTTTTTAAAGAATATAAATTCCCTGGAAAATTTATGTTATGCATACAGCCACAATGAGTAAACTTTTAGAAGCTCATTTATAAGGGTTGGTGTCCCTTTTAGGGTATTTGGATATGTACTCTGTAACTATTTTTTTTAACAGTCAGGTACTTTTAAGTTACCTATTTGAGCATTAACAGGTTATTTTGGTTGATGCTGTTTTATTGAAAATTATTTTGACCTGACATTCATATTTGATGTTTACTTTTTGTTGTTGTTGTTGTTTTTGCCAATATTACAATCCCATGGCTATTAAGTCCAGCTTGTTTTTAGGTTTTGTTGATAGGTTTTTTGTTTCGCTTCTTTTAATTGTTCGATAAGTGGGAGGTGGGTTCCCCACCCCCCCACCCCGACTGCTTCCCTACTGCCCAGGAGGAACCTTACAACTTAAATTAATCTGGTGGTGTTGCATTGCTTGCCTTTTTTAGTTAATTGTAAATGCCTATGGCTTTATCCATGTGATACTATTTCTAAATACCAGGTTTGCAAAGTTTTTCTTCTGCATAATGTTTGATTATGAAACAATAATGTTGGATTTTAAGTTGTTGTTTCTTTGTTTTGAAACAGGGTCTCATTCTGTTGCCCAGGCTGTAATGCAGTGGTGTGATCCTGACTCACTGCAGCCTTGACCTCCTAGGCTCAAACAGTCCTCCCACCCCAGCCTTTCAAGTAGCTGGAACCACAGGCATAGCCACCATCCCTGGCTAATTTTTGTATTTTTTGTAGAGATCGAGTTTCCCCATGTTGCCCAAGATGGTCTCAAATTCCTGGGCTCAAGCAATCTCCCCACCTCAGCCTTCCAAAATCCTGGGATTACAGGAGTGAGCCACCATGGCTGGCCAAATTTAAATTTTTATAGAATTATTTGTTGTAAAGAATTCTGTTAAGAAGTTTTGCCGAAGACTATGTTTTCATTCAAAACTCATTAATGACTTTGCTTAGTTTTCGAATTTAGTAAGCCAACTTTAATGTCCATTGAAATGAAATAAAACTTCCAGTCTTAAAAAACGTCCTCAACATTTTGATAAAGTCCTCTACTATGTAACATAGCAGTGGCGGTAAAAGTTTTATTATACCAATAACAGCCTGGTACTATATTTTCTTAAGGAATATTATGCCCACTACATCATTCAGTGGCTCCTACCTGAAATCCTAGGTGATAAATTTTGTTCAGAATCAAGGGACAGGAAAATGTTTCCTCCTCTGAGTGATTAATGGGCACCTTTAAGAGAGAGCATTTCCCTTTGTGTTTTGGCTGACTAGAGGTTCAGAAAAAACTCATGGCTCAGGTTTAGTATCTGTGCAAGAACCTAGATCTCAATGTCTGCCTTCTAATTCCTCTCTTGATTTTGAATTTCTACTTTAAGCTATATTTTTTCTGACCCTAGTTTCATTTATGCTTTTTTTTCTATTTTACTTTATTTCTGTGAAATAGGGGAATATAATTTTTAAAGTAATTGATAGTTGGTGAAAGAAAATCCCAAGCTCTATAAAGCACATCAGTTAGATTCATATTGAAGTTGCTATAGCAACCAATTAACTAAAGATTGAAATGAAGTTACGGATACATGCAGTTTACTTATTCCAGGTTCATCCAAGCAGCATTGTCATGAAGTGTATGCCTTTTTTAAACTGTTCATCACAAACTGCCAGTGCTGTTGCAGTCCAAGAGTGTGTAATGTTCGAAACATAATGTGCTAAAATAGACATTTGGGCATTTAAATATATAAATAACCATGATTCTCAAAGGGAACCTCACCCTTCTCTAATCATGTGATATAATGGGTTTATATAACTAGACCTAATTGGTAAGTTAACACTGAGATAGAACTTTTAGTTAAAATTTTAAGGGCTATAAGTTGTTCTCAGCTCTCACTTGTTTACTAATAGAATAATTTTCATATTTTACATTACTCATCTCTTTTTTCTCATCAGAATCAAAAAAGCAAATGAAACATCATTATAGAATCATCAAAAACAGAAATTAAAAAGGCTTATGTACCAAAACATCAAATTAGACATAATTAACACATGCTATAAGGGCATCCTTAATAAAAGCATACAGACTCCAAACAATTCACAGGCAAACACAAGTTCAACAGCAAAATGTATACATTGGAGCCATGTAGTTAGCTCAAATTAACTAACTCCAAAGACTTCCAAATATTTATTGCTTTTATTTTACTATTCTATTGCATTAAGTAATATTTGAGATAGGTGAACTCTCAAGATTTAAAAGTCTCTCTGTTACATATAAATAGTGTGGCTTTGGATTTCCTTCATAAAGAATAAATGATTTTATTTCTTAATATTTCAAATTAACACCATTTCAGGTGAACACCATTAATTGGTCATCTGTTTATTTCACAAGCCATTGATACCAATTATATTTAAAGTGTCACTTATGAGTTGAGGAACCATCTATTTTCTCCTTTCTTCAAACTTATCATTATTTCCTGCTGTTGATGTCTTGGATTCATTCATATTCTTCTCCGCATATGAGATCAGTTTCTACCCTTCTCTCTCCCAAATCTTGACACTGAGATGCCATTAACAATAGTACTTAAAGTGTTTTTAAAATATTTCACTTCCTCTTGAACCAGTTTGCCACTGTCCCATTATGATTTTTCCCCCATTTATTTATTTTATTGCATTTTAGGTTTTGGGGTACATGTGAAGAACATGCAAGATTGTTGCATAGGTACACACATGGCAGTGTGATTTGCTGCCTTCCTCCCCATCACCTACATCTGGCATTTCTCCCTTTGCTATCTCTCCCCAGCTCCCCACCCCCCGCCATCCCTCCCCTATTTCCCTCCTACTGACCCCAGTGTGTAGTGCTCCCCTCCTTGTGTCCATGTGTTCTCATTGTTCAACACCCGCCTATGAGTGAGAACATGCGGTGTTTGATCTTCTCTTCTGTCAGTTTGCTGAGAATGATGGTTTCCAGGTTCATCCATGTCCCTACAAAGGACCCAAACTCATCATTTTTGATGGCTGCATAATATTCCATGGTGTATATGTGCCACATTTTTCCTGTCTAGTCTATCATCGATGGGCATTTGGGTTGGTTCCAGGTCTTTGCTATTGTGAACAGTGCTGCAATGAACATTCGTGTGCACGTATCCTTATAGTAGAACGATTTATAATCCTTTGGACATATACCCAGTAATGGGATTGCTGGGTCAAATGGAATTTCTATTTCTAGGTCCTTGAGGAATCGCCACACTGTCTTCCACAATGGTTGAACTAATTTACACTCCCACCAACAGTGTAAAAGTGTTCCTATTTCTCCACATCCTCTCCAGCATCTGTTGTCTCCAGATTTTTTAATGATCGCCATTCTAACTGGCGTGAGATGGTATCTCAATGTAGTTTTGATTTGCATTTCTCTGATGACCAGTGATGATGAGCATTTTTCCATATGTTTGTTGGCCTCATGTATGTCTTCTTTTGTAAAGTATCTGTTCATATCCTTTGCCCACTTTTGAATGGGCTTGTTAGTTTTCTTCTTGTAAATCTGTTTTAGTTTTTTGTAAATTCTGGATATCAGCCCTTTGTCAGATGAATAAACTGCAAAGATTTTTTCCATTCTGTTGGTTGCCAATTCACTCTAATGACTGTTTCTTTTGCTGTGCAGAAGCTGTGGAGTTTGATTAGGTCCCATTTGTCTATTTTGGCTTTTGTTGTCAATGCTTTTGCTGTTTTGGTCATGAAGTCCTTGTCTATGCCTATGTCCTGAATGGTTTTGCCTAGATTTTCTTCTAGGGTTTTTATGGTGTTAGGTCTTATATTTAAGTCTTTAATCCATCTGGAGTTAATTTTAGTGTAAGGTGT